GAACTTGCAAATCAAGTTGCAGCTCAAATCTATATTCGAATATCAAACTAAACAACGTTTGCTGTCTTGAAGCACCGCCGCCCATTTTCTGCCCTAACCAAATACCTCGGTCAACGCCGCTCCCGACAAAAACAATCGTCCTGGCACAAATTCCAGAAACACAATGAATCTGCGCAAGAAATTTTGCACAACAGTGAGCTTTAACTTTTGTCTTTGGAAGCTCCTTGCTGCTGAACAATAATGTTGACCAAGCTTAAACCTCCCTGATCTTCATTCCAGCCGAGCTCAACATTGGCCAGCGCAACAAGGCGTTATCACAACTCTACAAACAAGCTGAACCAACCTCTTACAATAATCCTCTGGACGACCCAATGGCAGATCTCGACAGTGATCCAAATGCTGAAGAACGAGGAAGGTTTGGCCACATATTTAAATCCGACAAGAAAGTTCAACAAGAAGTCAAGTTGTGGGCCGAAGGTGTTCAGCTCAAAGTAAGACAGCCTCTCTCCTTGGTCAAATTTCGGGTGTGTCTGTAGTATGCTGACATTACTGCTTAGTTGAAGGAGCTTGGCGACCAGTTTGGTATTGAAGGCTTCCTCGTTCTTGCTGGGCAAGAACATCGAAAACCCTTCTTCTTCCAAGGCGGCAGTTTCTATGGCGATGAATATCTTCGGGGCCTGGTTGATGAAGGCGATCCAATCCGGGAATTTGCTGTCTGGACCGCTGGATCCAAAAAGACCATAAAAAGGAGAAAAAAAAACAAGTCTAACCCAGCTGCTGCTCAACCTGGAAACATCATTGCTGATCAGCCCCCAAAGAACAACAAAAAATCTGCTTCAGCTTTGGCGAACCGAGATGTTTGCCAAGGTACGTGTCCCTGTTCCCTCAAATGTGCTAGGATACAGTTTCTCATTTGCTCTTGTTTGTAGGTGGTTTGGCCCAGAACCATTCGTACATCTCTCAAGAGCTCGGCAAGATGTATAGTAAGTCAATCCAACAGTATTCCTTTATGTTCAATCAATGTCTTGTTTAATCTGACTGCTTCTACTTTCCAGTCGAAGTGCAGGAAAACAAAGTAAAGAAGGACACTCACTGGCCTGGAACTAATACTGCTACAAAACTAGCATTCTGCAATCGCAAACTTGTTATTCACGAAAACCCCGTTGGCCTTTCAGCAGAGCACCTAGTGAATGTTCCAGTTAAGAAGATGGATATAGAAACGACTTGGTTAGTTTTACGTGGATTGAAGAACCACTGGATCGAATTGGTTGAACACCAATTTGATGTAGCTCCGAAAAAGCGAAGGGTGTGTAAACAAAAGGCCGCCGCAATAGAATCCCCTACCCAAGAGATCAATGCCGACAAGACCAATGTAGCTTCAAAATCAACTGTCCCACAAAAACGAAAGGCCTCCAAAATCAAATCGGCAACCCAAGAAATCGATGACGAGACTGAGGAGGAAGAGGAAGAGGAAACCGATGATGAGGATGAGGAAGATGAAGATGAGCTGATCAGCAATTCCGATTTTTTTGACAATAGTGATAACGATGAAGATGAAGATGAAGATTATTAGATTGAATACAAACAAGCCCAATACCAATTGGTCTACTCTAACATATGGTTGCTTGCTGCTTGTTGATTTTTAGTTTTTATTTTTGCATTCAAGATGTTAATTTAACCATGTCCATATCTCCCAATTGAAATGTGATTTCACTTCCCTGCTTATGAACTTCAAAAAATTATTGGCACTTCTGATGAATATAAAATGATCCAAATCTACTGTGAAAAAATGAATCTCTCCATGATAACCCCATAGTTTTCCATACTATACTGATTGCTTGTTGTGACTGATTTACATAAGAAATTGAGATTCTGACTTACCCCAATCATCTAACAAAATAATATCCCTATTGTCACATGGTATTTATGTTTTCAAATAAAACCTGAAAGCATTGATGTACTAGTATGTCAAAAAATGAAATCAGGTTTTTTGGATCAAACTTTCCATGATTGTGTACCTTGAATATGATAAAAAGCTTATTATTTTAAGAAACCAGCATGAGTAGGTTTCACTGGCAGTCAAAGAGGATATGTGCCAGGAGTGCTATCACATTCTCACTATGAATGAAAAGTTGTTCAAATTCTATATGGAGGTAAATGATTGAATAAGTGCTTGTATATTAACAAATCATTTTGAACATAACACATAGTTTACATTGGTTTTTCTGCCATCATCAGGGCCCAAATCTTGGATTTTTTTTGTGATTTTTGCCTGTTTGTGGGGGGTTGAGATGTAAATCCAGTGTCACAGCTGCTGTAATTGACCTGTAAAACACACTTTAAGCTCATGTTTATGGGTTTTGGCTGACAGTTGGCCATGTGAGTATGGGATTAGGATACCTCCCTAACCCATAAGTATGTACTAAGACCCCCATACATGACCTGAGTCTGAATGGTTGAGTGAAAAAAAAGTTTTTTTTGGCTGGACCAAATTGTTTGCCACTTTAGATTTGGAACCTACACACCCTGTAGACTCCAAAAACACACTTATTACAATTGCTGGACCCCCATTGGGGTCAGGGTTTAACCCCGTGCAACCAGAACAAGTTTTGTGGGCAGCCTTGTACAGTGCAAAGCTGGGCACCACTGTAGTAGGAGCCAAAACAGTATGATGCAAGGTTGCACCATGGGAAATATCTTGTGGATTTCTTTTCAGCATATATCTTCAATCTGGTATTTTTTTATATCAGTTTCTTATATCAGAGGGTACGATATATGGATTATCAGCAACAATGGCCAGATACATTACCATGTGTTAACAAAGCCCTTTTTCATTGCACAACTTTTTTTCAATATCCTATTTTTTGGAGAATTCATCTCATTCAGACTGTACTGCAACCTCAAGTAACTAATATTAGTTTAACTCATTCTGAGATGTATGTCATCTGAGGGATGCTTTACGTTTCAGTAACATATAATCAATAAGTTATAATGACTGGTACCGGTAGGGTCAATCATCATGGAAGGTAGCCACATATCACTGGCATTCAGAATTTGGATTTCCACACAGGTAGGGTTTGAACATGGGATGTGATTCAGGTTTGGCAGGCACCACAATGATCCCTGCCAACTTTACTATGTGATTCACAATTTCAATTTGAGCACAGGTGGGGCTCGAACACAGGGTGTAATTCAGGTTTGGCAGGCACCACAATGACCCCTGCCAACTTCACTGTGTGATTACAATTTCAATTTGAGCACAGGTGGGGCTCGAACACAGGGTGTAATTCAGGTTTGGCAGGCACCACAATGACCCCTGCCAACTTCACTGTGTGATTACAATTTCAGTTTGAGCACAGGTGGGGCTCGAACACAGGGTGTGATTTCAGACTGGCAGGCACCACAATGACCCCTGCCGACTCGACTATGTACCAATGGCTGCTAAGTAGTGTCTAGATCAAGTACATTAGCTGTTATTGTCAAGGAATATTTTTACCCAATTTCTTGAAACAGATGTTGTACTGCCCATTGGTAAGTGGGGGTATAACTTACCATGATTAAAGTGAAAACTGTCTACAGGCATACACTTTGAACCACATAATCTGCTGAACTACATGGGAAAAATCTGAAACCAATCTGTTGTTTGGCTGGAAATAAATTTCCTATAAGAGCAGAAACCAAGGGTATGCCCTTGGAAGTTTTTTACTGTAGTTGTGTTACAGGCAGTATTAAAGGTGTGCAAAGTGAAAGATTGCATAGGAATCATATAAAATTTATTTCCAAGTTTCCAAATCCTTGGAATATAAATCTCCCATCTGGTAGAGTATGGATAACTTCAATGTATCAGAGCAGAGTAACAAGTATTAGTAGGTTTGGCTTCTAGGAATAAAGGTTGGAAGCTTCAAATCAATGGAAAACATCCAAAATAAAATAAATGCCAACTTTCATTATTTATCTTCAATGAGTTTATTTTTGTTACTGCCAGCTGGGCCAGGATGTGCTTTG